TATTGGTGCATTGTCATCCTGATACACGGCACCTCCTTCAGGATACAGTGTTTGAACCATTGGATGCACATGGTCCTCCAGAATGGTTCGGTAGTCCTTGGCAGTGACGCGCCCATCTAGCACAAGTGTGGGGCCAAGGGAATGCCATGATATGGCAGCCCAAACCATCACTGTTCCACCCCCATGCTTCACTCTGGGCATGCAACAGTCTGGGTGGTACGCTTCTTTGGGGCTTCTCCACACCTTAACTCTCCCGGATTTGGGGAAAACAATAAAAGCGGACTCATCAGAGAACATTACATGTTTCACATTGTCCACATCCCAAGATTTGTGCTCTTTGCACCATTGAAACCGACGTTTGGCACCGGCAGCCCGGCCGTGTATATTGACCCTGTAGAGCTCCCGACGGACAGTTTTTGTGGAAACAGGAGAGTTGAGGTGCACATTTAATTCTGCTGTGATTTGGGAAGCCGTGGTTTTATGTTTTTTGGATACAATCCGGGTTAGCACCCGAACATCCCTTTCAGACAGCTTCCTCTTGCGTCCACTGTTAATCCTGTTGGATGTGGTTCGTCCTTGTTGGTCAGTGGCGGACCGTGCATTTCACACCTAGGCCTTCAGTAGTGCTCCGTCTGAATCCATTCACCCCTCAATAACTATTTTATGGTTATAGAAATCATCTTATTATGTAGAAATACAGTAGGGATGTCCCGATCCAGCTTTTTGTATTAAAGTTGAAATTTATTTATCTTCTTACTTAGTTGTCAGACTCATGTTGAACAGGGATTTACTCTTATAACAACTAAAGTTTACACAGACCTGTGGGTTACAGATGCGCTCCTGGCACCGCGCTCCCCTGGACCAGAGGGAGCACGGATACGTGGAGTCTGTGATGGACGCTTAGCGGCCCTCCATCACAGAGCTGCTGGTGGATTTCAGCAGGAGGAAATGTACCCCCTCTTTCTCTTTATTTCATGTATAATTTGTTTTATGTGATGCAGAATAAGCAGAAATACAGATGATACGTGATGTTAACATCCGGGAGGCAGCAGGACTGTGGAAAAAGACTTTAGACACACTTCCATTTTAATTTCAGTGGATGTTTTTGGTCTGTGAGGCTTGGAGTGGATTCTTCTTTACCTATACAGGAACATGTGTCCTCTGTGTCCACCATAAAGTCCTTGTTGTTGATTTCGGTTGAGCGGCAAAAGTTGGTTGAAGTGGGCCAGCCAGATCTCGAAGGCGGCGGACGAGGCGTCCACCGAGGTGTCTTCCCCCTCCAGGGCCGGGAAGTAATACGGGCAGAAGCAGATGAGGAACACCACCACCACGATGCCCAGAGTGTGGGCCGCCTTCAGCTCGCTCCTCCTCACGGCGGCGGCGGCCCCCGGATGGCGAGGACCGATGGCGGCCACCCGAGATCGCAGCGTCCGGGCCTGGGCCAGAACCGCCGAAAACACCCGACCGTACAGCACCAAGATGACGGCGATGGGCAGGATGAAGGTGAAGACCGTGTCCACCACCCCGGTGTAGTAGCCGTTTGTCTAACAAACTTGTAACAAAAATTAAATTAAACTTAAAATAAAACAAACGACAACTTCTGGCACCCTGGGCAGGCATCGTACGCAGGCAAGAAAATGATTTAAGTTCCACGCAGACTTGTTTATTGTTGTTTCAGGTGAGCAAACAAATCTCTTGCGCTGGTAAAAAAAACCATGTGTCCACTACCCAGGTGCATACAGGTGTAGTGCCACTTCCTACCTATATCCACCCTTACCTGTGCGCACCACTACCCCCAGGTGTCTAAAACCTAATACTACAATTAATAAATTTAACAAATAAAGACTAAACATAAAGCAAAATAATTAACTAGACGAATTACAAAAAGAATATTACCAAAATATGAAACTATCACTAATGTAAACAAATTCATAATAAACAAACAAATCAACAGAATTACCACCACTCAAAGTAAAAGTGCGAGATGACTTCCACACCCGGCGTTGGGGTTGATGACCACCACGCACTCCCCCAGGCAGGAGCTGGACCGGCCGGGCTCCGCGATGTGATCCTGGACTAGCAGCAGCCTGAAGACCACAGAGGAAAACCAGCACAGGCACACGTCCAGTCTAGCCGCGCCCGTGGTCACCCTGGAGGGGTAGCGCAGGGGGTCGCAGACGGCCACGTAGCGGTCCAGGGAGATGAGCACCATGTTGACCACGGAGGCCGAGGTGATGACATAGTCCAGGGTGTAGTACAGCGTGCACACCCAGTCCCCCAGGAACCAGCAGATCTCGATGTAGACGGCCCACCAGGAGGTCTGAGACGGCCAGGGAGAGGAGCAGCAGGTTGGTGGGGGTGTGGAGCTGCCTGGGGAGAGAGAATAGAGTCAGTACGGGGTCAGAGAGGTGGACATTCACAGAAAACAGAGGGAGGTCAGATCGCTATTAGGGATGGAACGGTTTATGAAAACCGTCCGAACCGTTGGGTTCGACTGTCTCGGTTCGATTGGCGTGTGTTGCGTTCAGTTCATGCGCTGCTCCTTTTTCTCATAGGGAAGTGTGTTCACTCCAGGGCAGAAGGTGGCTGTACTGCGCCCAAAACCATCCACCAGTAGGAAACAAGAAGAAGAATCGAAGCCGGGTGTAGCAGATCGAAATCAGACTAGGTCTGCTGTACGGGACCACTTTGCATTTAGAGTGAAGCACATGTTGGAACTAGCACCGTCTCCTCTCTTGCAATGCCAGAATCTCACCTACTTTTAACCTAAGACTGTCACAACGATGTATCAAATGTCAGACTGCTTTTTTCTTTCAGTTTTAACCCGACTATAATTCAATTTCAATTTTCAATTCAATTTTATTTATATAGCGCCACATCACAACAACAGTTGTCTCACAGCGCTTTCCAAACAGAGCAGGTCAGACCCTACTCTGAAGTTATTTACAGAAACCCAATGATTCCCACCATGAGCAAGCACTAGACGACACAGGCAAGGAAAACCTTCCTTTTAACAGGCAGAAACCTGGAGCAGAACCATGGCTCAGGGTGGGCGGCCATCTGCCTCGGCCGGTTAGGGGCGAGGTAAAGAGAGGGCAAGAGAGAAAGAGAGAGAGAGAGAGAGAGGGAGAGATAAAGACAGAGGGAGCAGAGAGAGGCAGCCAACACAGCAACACGTAGACTAGATGAAAAATGCCAAAGATATTACTATATCACTATACAAGACATAATAGATTTTCCTAACAATCAACATATATACCGAACCGAACCGAAAACCGTGACCACAAAATGGTGAACCGAACCGAACTGTGGATTTTGTGAACCGTTCCACCCCTACTCGCTACGCAGGGGCGGATTAAGAAATTTTGGCCCCCTGGGCCTGACATGGTCTTGGCCCCCGTAGGGGCGCACACACACGCACGTACTATGCAAGAAATACTGTATACTGTGAACAGACATGCACACTGTCCTGTACAGAAGAGTGCACATACTGCACACACACTATTAGGTATACCACACAGACACTGACAAGCACAGGTTTCACACATACACAGGGGGAGGGGATAAATGGCCTAAAAATAAACATTTTGGAAAATGATTATGCCCACTTCAGTGATGGTGCATTGGGTCATTTGAGAGATATTATGTATTGGAAGTTGGTAGCTATCATGAAATAAACCCCCCACCCCACCCAAAAAACTAAATCGGACAGGATTATTGCCCCCTTTTCCTCCCTTCTATCATTAAAAATAAAATAATATCTTAGGAAAACACTTTGGCATAACGGCAGCTGTGCAGCAAATTGAGGCTCAAAGTCTGTATCTATTTGTGGTTAAGCTTGAGGAGAAGGAGAAAGGTAAAATGATAACATGCATCGGAGAGCACCACAAAGAAAGGTGTAGGCCAGTTCATGGTACAAGGGCTGCATGCAGGTTAAGATAGCCCATTTTCAAGAATGCTATAGTGGCTGGACATGTCCTGAACTCAGTGTCAGACGTGGCTGCCGAATACTTGGATGAAGTGAAGCAGCTGACAGATCTCATGCTGCCCCAT